TGTTATTTTTGCTGTTGTTGTTGTTGTTGTTGTTGTTGTTGTTATTGTTGTTGTTGTTGTTGTTGTTGAGCAAGTTTTGTTTCCTACGCCTTCTAGCCTTTCAAGATATTTTTGCTGTATCAAACGGCGTGATTTTCGGGCATCGTACTCGGTCCAGTCTGCCTTCCATACCTTCCTGGTACCAAGTAGACGCCACCCTGAGTCATCGTTGTTGTTATTTAATTCCACCTCCAAGCTGGGGCACGAGTCAAATGGCGATTGCAAAGGTGCAGCGCTCCGTGTTGAAGCTATATTTGCTGACAGTGACTTCAGCTCGTCAAGAATATCGAGTTCCAGCACAGAGTTAGAGCTCATGGTACAACTTGCCGCAATGCCGAGCGACAGCTGGTTCAGTTGATTTATTTCATTACTGATATTTCGGAGCTCGGTGGATATATCTGACGTCACAGTTCTCAATGACGTAGACACACTGTCTTTCGTTGTCATCATTGCTGTATCGAAAACCGATGTAGTGTGATTTTTGATGGCAACGACACTGCCAGCTAAGGTGCTGTTTCTGTTAATTGCAGACAGTTCATTTTTTATGCCTACCAGCAGTACCTCCAGGCCAATGACGTTCATTGCCTCCAGGCCTTCGACAGCTTCGTGAACAATTCGAGGATTTTCTTGCTGCATCGCAAAACGTTGCTCCGTTGTAAGTTTTTGTTGAGCCGCTAATTGATTGAATTCTAACTTTGCTTGCAGATGCTCTTGACACGAGTCGCAGCATGGTAGAAGATAGGAATTAAAATCCCTTACTTTTTTATTGTCTTTCCTGCGTAGTGAATTCCTCTGCACGGTCACTCCTACGCAGGCTGCATGAAATGTGCGTATACAGCCAGTGCATTTCCACATCAGCGAATCAACGGAAGAGTCAAATGAACAAATTCTACAATTCATATTGAAAAGAACGGAACCAACAGCTATCGCGCACAGGATGCACGTGGCTAGGAACGATTTAAAAACGCGTCCAAACCGACACGGAGAACAAATTCGTTAAGTTAAGATAACCTAATAGTTGGAGGCGAACCAGCCTAAGGCTGAAAGCCTCCTAAATAAAGCTAAATTAATTAATTAATTAATAACCTAATAGTTACTTTCACATAGAAAAATATTGTTGTTTGTGAGAAACCTATAGTTATTCCAACAATAATTTGACCGTCAACTCAATCATATCTACCTAATAGATTCAACTGTTCATCTTATACTCAATTCAACTCTAACTTTGATCAATTGTAACAACCGTCAAATGTAATTTATTTATATAATTTGGTTTCAAGTGATCATCATAAATCCACATACTTTTAACTTGTGATGCGTAGAGCAGGCGATAAGATAGCTGGCTCTCACGCAGATGAACACGGTTTAAATCAAAGCTGAATGTTCTTGTTCACTTTTTTATGATGATGCAGTTGTGTTTTTGCGATCGATGAAGAAGCAAAACAAACTTCCTTAATATGTCGATAATGAAGAGCAGTTCGTTTAAAAAACATTGTAAAATTTTGCTTTCCTAACAATAATTTTCTTGAATCAACTAAAACATAGTTGTATTTTGAAGTTTGACGTTTGTTCATCTACTGAAAAATATAGTTGAGCCAACCGAGGAGCCAACTATGGACTATAGTTGTTGCCCACTATATATAGTCAAATCAACTATAGTTTCGGGTTATCTCTAAAACAATTGAACAATATAGTTATTTGACCGGAAAAATAATTGCGTCTGCTTTAATTTGTTCTCCGTGGATTGACGATCGATCGACGAAAAAAAAAGCAGCCAAGTTCCAGGAATGTGAATTAATTCGATTGTTTGTATTTGAATATTGCGGGGTTGTCAACAAACTACGTAGCATTACGTCACATTGTTGAGGAAAAACGTCCTCCTTTAGTTTTATTATCTGAAACTCATGAGCATGAGCATGAGCATGATTGACCGCCCACGGTTGCTACTCTGTTATTGCCAGATCAGCTGTAATTACACAGAGAACCAATAGACGATGCTTGGGACTAGCAATCATCCTCAATGTGTAAAAACTGGTGATCTCAAACTAGGCAATACCAGCGCCGGCCGCGCCCGAACACAGGTCAAGAAAGGAAGGGGTAGGAATGTGTTGACGTGACACTCGCTTTGATGGAAGCCGAGAACACCTCTGCACTTCCACGAGGAATCACTGGGATGTTGGGTAAAAGGGTTGGGTTGTGTTTCCAGCAGGGTTCGTTTTGGTAAACGATAAGCTGAATTGATGTCCTAACGATCATATATAACGCGAAGGAGCTTGGGATTGAACCCACGGTCTTCTGCTCAGTAAGCAAAAACGTTTGCCACTAGGCAGACGAGCTCCTTTTTAATCATCGAGTTGCTGTTATTACCATGTAGTCATGTTAACAAATAAAACGATTGATGAATCTTGAATGTGGATGAGCTTGAGATTAGACTCATGATGTTCTGCTCAGTAAGCAAAACCGGTTGTGCTAAGGCCAACGAGCCCCTCATATCACATTATAGTGTTACTCAAGTTTTTATGACTATTCAAAGTTTTACAAAATACACGATAAACAAGCGATCTAACCATACATTTTTAATATGAGAGGATCTGGGACCGCGTTTTTCTGCTCAGTAAGCAAGCCACTGCAACCGACGATCTTTGAAATCCTTATTTTTATTATCTCATATTGTAGAAACTGAAGCTATTGATCAGTATAGTATTTCGGGATATATTGTTGCTGCATGTTTATCACATTCTAGAAACACTGGCGGTGTTGCTATTTATGTCAAAGAATCAATTCAATTCATCCTTTGTACCAACGAAGCTATTGATTGCAACTGGTTCTTAGGTATTACAGTTGTACATGGCATGAGGATGGGTAATTATGGTGTTTTGTATCAATCTCCCAGTTCTAGTGACCAGCGTTTTGTTGAAGTTTTAGAGAACTGGCTCGAGAAATTCCTTGATTCTAGGGAATTAAATATATTGGCTGGTGATTTTAATTGAATTTAATTGATTTAATGTTAATTTGACGCGTATAGCTGAGTTTTTTTTAATTTAAAGCAAACGGTAAATGAGTATACGCGAATTTACAGGCACAGTAGAACCATAGAGGTATTATCTTCGGTCCCATGCTAATCGATGCACCCCTCGAAACTTAGGAAAATCCACGAACCCCTCATTTTATCTGTCAAACTTTCATAGAGAATTAAAACAAACATAGTGTAGTACTAGAATATCGACTTGGATTGGGGTACGTTGATCAATTTGCTTGAGACCAATAGGCTAGTCAAGTAGTGAGCCAATTTCAAATCGATAGTTTCGTATTGATTGTTGGTAGAACTTTAATTGACCACGTTTATTCCAACTTTGATTCCATTTGTTCAGTTACGGATACTGATTTGAAAATAATCGATCATGAAACCTAAGTGATTAATCCCTTGGACCATGTTAACGATAACGATAATTTTGTAAAATTTAAGTGCTGGAGGAAATATTCGAAACAGGCTGTTTAGAATCTTGTTGAGAGGAGCGTGGATTTTCCATTCGCGGCCGGTAACTTAGATGAATCTACAGCTGTTCTTAATAACGCTTTGAAAACGTGTAGCAATCAACTAGTTGAGCAAAAGTTTGTTTCTTTGAAAAACTCGAACAGCTGCTACGATTTGGATATTTTGCGTCTTAAACGGAAAAGGGACAAATCGTACAAAAAGTTTTGTATATCATATAATGACAATCATTGGAGTAGGTACACAATCGCGCGTAATAAGTAAATATTCACAATCGATAAAGAAAACTCGTTGTGAATATGTTCAAAATAAGATTGATCAGCATCTAAACAACTGCAAAGAGTTATGGAAATTTTTGAAATTTTTATTATAACCTAGTAATTGCAAACCGCGGTCCATAACTTTCAATGGCACATTAGAGCAGTCAGAACAAGTTATTGCATCTAAGTTTAGTGATTATTTTGTTGACAGTGATTTGAAGTTTTTCACCCAATTACATTAGATGAACTTAGAGTTATTTGTTTTTCATTAGGAAAATCATCTGGAGTAGATAATGTTAATGATAGAGTCATTCAAAATTGCTTTCATGTCATTGGCCACATCTTGCTGGAACTTATAAATTAATCATTGCAAACTGGGCATGTGCCACAAATTTGGAAGGAATCCTTAGTGGTCCCTTTTCAAAATGTTGCTGGAACGATTAAAGCCGAAGAGTTTCGTCCCATGTGAACATGTTGCACACATTAGAGAAAATTTTTGGACTTGTTGTTAAAGGCCAGCTGTTGGAGTATTAAAATAGTAATAGTTTGTTGATACCAGAACAATCGGGATATCGCGAAGGTCCTTCTTGTGAAACCGCGGTGAATTTGGTATTAGCGAAGTCGAAAAATATCTTTGAGTGTAAAAATACGATTGTTGCTGTTTTTTGGATCCTAAACGCGCTTTTGAAACAATTTCTAGGCCCTTATTGTTAAGATCAAGGAGGAGGAGGAGGAGGAGGAGGAGGAGGAGGAGGAGGAGGAGGAGGAGGAGGAGGAGGAGGAGGAGGAGGAGGAGGAGGAGGAGGAGGAGGAGGAGGAGGAGGAGGAGGAGGAGGAGGAGGAGGAGGAGGAGGAGGAGGAGGAGGAGGAGGAAGAGGAGGAGGAAGAGGAGGAGGAGGAGGAGGAGGAGGAGGAGGAGGAGGAGGAGGAGGAGGAGGAGGAGGAGAAGGAGGAGGAGGAGGAGGAGGAGGAGGATGAGGAAGAGGAGGAGGAGGAAGAGGAGAAGATGGAGCTGATGTCAAATGGATTAGCTGGATTCCCTCCCTTTTACATAGCTTGAGAGTCGAAGGAAACGTGATATTCAGTAAATATTTGATGTTACATTTACACCCAATGAATGTTACATTTACATTTACATAATTTAGAATGTTTTGTTATATCAATCAAAAATCTAAATGTATCTCATTTAAGCGTGAATGCTGTTCAGGAATAGCTTTTATCATAAGCCTCACTCATGAAATTTATATGTTATGCAAGTAGCGCAAATCAAAGTGTTGAACGCATGATACTAACGTGTGATTTTGTTTGAGTGTACGGAAAAAGACAAAATAGGAATAGGAAAATGCATTAGCTTGGAGCCGGTTTTCTTAGCTTTCCTAACACAAATTAAAGCTTATAATTCAGTTTTCACCGGTGGAGCAGCAACCGGCATTCCATCGTTAAAATCTATTTGATTCCAGAAGTTCTCATCGCTCAGTTGTCGGGACAGCTTCGGTTCGCACTTGGGGTAGTTCACCTCCAGAAAGCGTACCATATCCTTCTTGTCCATGCGCGGTATGTCATAGCTGCCGAACGTTGCCACACTGTCCCGAGCGAATTGTTCATACATTTTTACGAACCGACTGGCAACCAACAGCTCCTCTTTGGTGTACGGAACTTGCTCACGCCATTCGGTATTGAACAGTAGCAGAACATCTTCGCCGTGCGCAACGCCGTAGTTCTTCGTTGAATTGGATAGATATTCACCGATGGCGTACTTGGTTTTGTACACATCGTAGTACAAGTAAATGGGTGTGTGCACTTGCATCAACTGAGTGGAACGCACGACGCCAGCAAAGTAGAGCCGGTTGGAAATAATCTGCAATCGATAAGTGAAATAATATACACATAGCATTATCGAATGATTGCTACAACTAGAAACATGAACTCACTCTTATGAAATCGCGGAAACTGTTATCACTGAGCATTTTTCTACCCAGATATCGCTTCCTAATCGTCTGGCTTATCTCATCCCGTCGAACTTCATCGTTTCGCATTGAAGTATGGTAATCTAAAATGCTTGGTAGCAGCTTGTTCCAATTTTTGTTAATGTCGTTTAAATATTCTTGTTTGCTGATGAATTCTGCTCCTGGGTAGAGACCTTCTGCTTCGTTAACCGAAAGTAGCAAGGGAACTCGGTAGAATTTACCCGTTTGCATCAGTTTGTACGGATGGTCTGCCAGAAATGGCTTCGGGTTATTTTTAGATTGCTTCTCAATCACAACTCCAAGCGGTGAGAATGGGTTGTACAGGAAGTCGAAGAAGGGAGCCACAGCTTGCACGACATCTCGAGCCGGTTTCTGTCTCAAGCAAATCAACATATCCTTGCTGGGCTTCGTTGGACAATCGATGGTAGCTGCAATCTTTCTGGCCTTCTCTGCGGAGTTTTCTACCAAAACCCAAGGATTCAAAGCGGAGCCGCTATGACCGATACCGTTCTTAAACAGACCCCTGGACATAGGTGAGAGGTAATGCAGCTGAACACTGGCTGATCCGGCCGAGTAGCCCGAGAGCGTAATGCTCTCGGGATGTCCACCGAAATGCTCGACATTTAGGCGAACCCACTTGAGCGCCGTGACTTGATCTTTGAGACCGAAATTTCCTGGAATAACATCGTCCTCCGTGCTCAGGAATCCCAGCGGCCCCAAACGATAATTAATCGTGACCAACACCAACGGAATCTTCATCATATTATCCGGTTGATAGAAACTCTTCCCGCCGAACATGAATGCTCCACCATGGATAAAGAATATGGTCGGCAACGGTTCCGTACTGTTTAACGAAGTCGTGTAAATGTTCAAGAACAAACAGTCCTCTTCTCCCGTTGTCCTATCTTCACCTTCCTCAAAATGACTCCACTGGAGGCATTCCGATCGCTGTTCAGTGGCATCCCTTGGCTCGTCCCATCGTTCATCGTTCAGTTCCGATGCAGCTAGTCTTAGATCACCCACCGGAGCCTTGGCGTATGGTATTCCTTCGAATGCATAATACGAACCACGATTCACTCCCCTCAAGGGACCATTTCCAGTTTGAACGATTACAAGGTCATCATCACTATCAGCCAACGCATTAACGGCGGTGGCGACGACGACGACGGTAATTAAAAATCTGCTTACAAACGATCGTAACATTCTCCCGCCGGCTGCATCAACGATGTTACACGTACGCAAGTACAATAGCGACTAATCTTATCACGTACTTGCACCAGCTCACACAAGCTGTCGAAGACGAAGTGAAATCTACGATGAGATAGAGGCGGCTGAGATATTTTTTTTGTCTTACAAAAGAATGTTTATGCCTATTCTGCTATCATTATTTGCCATGCAAATAACAATTCGTCTTTCCAGGGGCGTAGCAAGACTCGGTGACACCTGGGTGGATGGTTTGGGGGTCAAGTCACTCTGCCATATTGTGCTAACACCCACAGGAGCACACTTCAAACACCTGCAAACACCTTTCCGCCGCATGATAATTAAATTTTGATGTAGAACTACGTCTTTGTCGACTATACTGGGGTGCAAATCAAAAAATATGTTAGATGAAATAGTGTTAGGTTTTGAACGCTTGTACTTTTGTCATTTATAGATGAAATAAAAATCCAAATACGACAATCGATAGGATATTTCATTACAAATCTGATGAATTATTTTTTTTCAATTGTCCATAAAAAACTTTTGAAAAATGTGCAAATGATAATTTTATCTCTGTTTTCATGAAATAAACGTTTTTAACAAACCCAGTCATCATAATCGAATACCATTTGGTTCTAAATCGTTCTGTTTAAACCTGAAAAGATATAAAACAGCACTACTATCGTGTATTTGCTCATCAGAGATTGTTGTAGGCGATCCAATCAACAAATCATCAGGAATCTGGCACGGTTAGGTTAAGCTAAGTTATGTTAAGTAGGTAGAATAACAAATTAAAATATTTAAATCAAACATTCAGGAAGAATTGTAAAACATTACAATAGTACAACAAGACATGTACAAACACCAAATCAAAAATTTCACCAAAAATGAAGAGCCCTTCTGGCTAACCTCTTGCCTTGTATTACAATTGTAAACCACGTAACAAATCACAAATAAAGAAGAATTTTACGAGGGGCGATCAACTTCATAAATCAGCTGAATTGTAAATACACACTTCGGAAAATACACAAAAAAATACGTAAATGTGTACACGATGCAACTAAAATACCCTAATAAAAATACCTCGAGCATACTTTGTTCACGAAAAATACATTTCTTAATGAATAAAACAGCAAAAAAGGTTATCTTCCATTTAATTCCACTTAAAAAATTTTGGTATCCATGACAGATACGTATTTCGACTACAATGTGCAGTCTTCATCAGTGTCATTCCCACTAAAGAACTTGCCAATTGTCAAACTGTATAGTTTTTTCTCGCTTTGACAGTTGTGTCCCTATTGGCAAATCAAAGCTGGCACTCGTGGAGAATAGAAGAACTATGAGAGTGATGGTTTCAGAATTTTCCACGGGGAGGTATACGAGTGCGATATTAAAATGCTTTTATTTTGCAAATGGAGCATTTTATTTAAATCTGGTTGCTGCTACAGTTGTAGCAAAGCTGAAATCTATGTCTACACATAAAAATCTGAAAAGAAATGATTTTTTCTATATTATATGTATATTAAGTAGTCCTTAAGTTTTCTACTAGCGTACACGCAGAGAAATGGATTGTACGTTCAACAAAATATTGGGTCAAAATCAATTAACATGTTTGTTATCTGAAGGCTAACAAATAATTTTGTTGATTTCTACCCGGTATGTTTATTGATTCTACAATCGTGATAGTTATCACCACCACTAGATATGATTGTCGTTACAACAATCTTTTTTGGTTGGGTCCACAATCATGTTTGTTAAATCAACTATAATGTTTAGTTGAACTGAAAATGGTAGGTTAACTTAATAATGTTCGGTAAAGAATTTTTTTTTGCTCACGAAGAAAAGTTCATGATTTGTTTTTTATTGAATTTTTATTGTTATTCCATATTTATATTCAAATTACATTGCTGCCTTGTCCTGAAGACAACAAATCAAGAAGACTGGCAACTCTTCCATTTTCTCATACGAACGCTATGAGACAGCCCAGACAACCAGAATGCACGTATATTCAAAGTTGTTTTCTTGATATACAAACATATATACAAACCAACAAACCGTATAGAATGCAAAGAAATGGCTTATACGTACAAAAGTGGAGGCCATATACGTGCAAATTTTAATTTAATTTTAAACGAGTAGATTTAACATCATATACGATTTAATCTGAAATAACAAATTCACTTTGAAAAGACTTACGATGTAATCCGATTTGATTTGTGATACTGTACGACTGAAAAATGAATCATCGCATATAGGTCGGAAATTTGGATTCTATACGATTTAACTTAAACATAATGCGATGCATGCCATTCTTATATGCGATTTTGACTTAAACTGTAGCAATTTACGATACTGTCTGCACATTGTTATACGACTTCTGGTTGTCTGGGAGGTACAATCACGTCATCTGCCGCTTACAGGCAAATGCTTCGAACGAATTTGATAGCAAAGATTACATCTTCAGAAGAAAGGTTTGAGCACAGACAAACAGACGTAACTCTTTGCAAAAGTTTTTCTTGAAAACATAGTATCTCAAAACATATGACCTCAGTAACGACATCTCTCGGGCTTCTCGCGGAAAACAAGCTTGCTCGCTAGCTCGCAAACAATATTGCATAAAAGTTCTATAGAATGTATAGAAACTTCAAAGTGATCCGATGCCAGCGCTGCGGCGAGTAGTTCGTGGAACTGATAATATTCAAATCAATCGTTAATTGCATGAACGAAGATACACAATGAAGAGTTACGTCTGTTTGTCTGTGGTTTGAGTATTTGCTCATTTTTCTATGCGTTGCTTCCACCTTCACTCAAGCGTAGCGCCATTGTATCTGCCGCTTGGATTCTGACAAAGTTGCCAGTCTTCTTGATTTTTTGTCTTCGCTTGTCTTGACAGAAGCTTGACATGATCGATCTTCCTTTTGCAGAGTGAGTGAGTAGATAGGTTGCAGTACACTTTTCTCGAGATACTGAGGTTTTCTCAACGTGTGCGACAGGAGCTGACGTGTGTGACAGAGTTGGAAGACCCTGAAACCAAGGTTGCAAAGACTCATTTCAGCTAAAACAATGTTTTTCTAAATTATGAAATAATTAGATGCCATGATCAAATTTTGAATTAGTAGGATACAAGAAGAGGTTGCAAAGAATGTGTTTGACATATTAAACCTGTTTATTTCACTTCATGAGAGTCACAATCAGCGATTTTTCACAAACTCACTCACTCACTCAGCGATCAGCAAATCGTTGATTGTGACTCATAGAAAGCAAAATTTACAGGTTTTATGTTTCCAACGCATACTTTGTAACCTCTTCTTGTAAGTTACAAGTAAAACATGCCATCATACCATATTTTGGTTTTATTATTCCGAAAAACATTATTTTAGCTGAAATGAGTCTTTGCAACCTTGCCTGAAACATGAAAAATAGTACCTGTTACTACGGTGAATAGAAATTGAGGGGGAATAGCAATAACAATTTTCAAGCGATGTAAGACTTAAGTAATCTGTTAACACATACCTTATTATATCGTCCATGGATAACCTTAGTACTTTCAGCTAGGAACGGCACCTGGACTAGCTCCTCGACCTCCTTCCTCTGTATAAGCTGGAGCGTAGGCAACGAGTACTTATTTGCTGATAAAAAAGCGTCGCCCATTTTTTAAATTTGTTTTTGTTTTTTTTGTGGGTTTTTTTGGAGTGATACTTACTGATGAATGCGATAATAACCTCCAAACACACGTCGAATTGCTTCAACAGTTTACCCACCTCCAGCTCTTCAGGGTCCAGTTGATCAAAAAGTACTTCCTCAAGGAATTCCTCGACAAGCGACTCCGCATCCGCTTCCGCAATTTCTGAATTCTCGTTCATTTTGCGACAAAATGGTGCCAATATTTACACTCTGCATTTTTTGTACACGCTTCGAAAAACATACTCACTATCAACAAAATAATTTGTAGATTCGAATAACATCATTGTCGGTTCTACAAAATACGTTTGTTCAAACGCTAAAATGGGATTGTTGATTTACCAAACCAGAGAGGTTGAATTCAACAAATAATTTTGTAGATCCAACTTAGCAAAATTTCTGTGCGTGTAGCATTAACCAGATTTAAATAAAATGCTCTATTTGCAAAATAAAAACATTTTAAGATTGCACTCGTATACCTCCCCGTGGAAAATATTGAAACCATCATCACTCTCATAGTTCTTCTATTCTCCACGAGTGCCAACTTCCGGCTTTTTAATGTGTGGTTATTTCAGCTGTGAATCAGTTCAGATCTGTAGATAATCGAAAAATAAGACAACTCCCGATGGAAATTTGCAAGTTGTGCAATAAAATGTACATTATTTTGATGTAAACAAATGGATTGGATGACATTTCCTCTAAAAATTGGCTAGCGCACTCTACATTGATGGTGTAAGAAAAGAGCCTATTGATTTCTTCGCCAGTCACTTCGTTTGTGGTTCTACCATCCAGGTTACAGGTTGTTTATGATATTTCAGTGCCAACATTTCAAAGGGGCGTAATTGCATTTGTAAACAATGACTTTCGTCTTCGATTTCTCGCAAATGAAAGCTCACTCATGACAATGAATGACATCAGGAGGTAGAGGAATGTTTCCTGTCCCAGCTAGCATTAGTAATTTGGAGGGGTGGGCTTTTATTTGCGAGAAATCGACGACTAAAGCCATTGTTTACAAAAGCAATTACGCCCCTTTGAAATGTTGACACTGATTTGTTTATTAGGGTCTCTTATTCTCATTCGCATTGTTTTCAAACATCAAAATGTCATGATAACCTGAGATTTGTCAATCATGTACACAGAAAATGAAACCCTAAGCTTGAGTTTAAACAACCCAAAATTAAATAAAACCATTATAGTATCCCATTGGGTAAAAATCAATGTGTTAGGATGGGTAATTTTAACTCAACGGTTGAGTAATACGTATATTACCTAAAGATGAGTAAAAACCAAACAGAAATTTTGTGGGCCTAAATTTACTCAACGCTGAGTAACTTACTATAAAGCTTGCGTTGAGTGAAAATAACTCTGAGTTGGATGAAAAAAATTCCAGTGTGTTATACTTCCACGACGACGCCATTTGTGATTTTGCTCCCTTCGAACGAACACACGCGTGTGATGTCCGGAAGTTTTTGTCATCGTGAGCCGTTTCCTTCGAGACAATTCGACCCACAAACGAAGTTTGTGATTCGCCGACGTAATCTTGTAAGTGACGAATCCGAAGCGCTAGTGGAGCAGCAGATAATAAATTCCATTTCTTTTCAGATATCCGGCACTTGCAGCTTCTAGCACGACATTTGTGTTTCGATTTCCGTCCGGTAGCGACCATAAAAAAAATGGAGCAACTAAAGAAAAAGTTGGATGATGGAAGCTTTGATAAGTTAACTGGTGAGTACATTCATTTGACAGGTAATATAATTATAATATATTTTAAAAGCTTAAAAAGAAAATTATGTTGAGGGCCGGTGAGAATTTGCAGTTGAACTTAATAGCCAAACTAAAGAATAACGTATAAAACTACATAATTATGATCATATTTTTTTCACAGCCAATCTCATTAACAACGTTTCCCTATGGGAATTGGAAGACAACGATTTACAAGAAATGGGTATTACTGAAAAAGGACCCCGTAAAATTATCCTGGGATTTATTGAACGACACAGAACAGAAATCGATGAGTCTGAAAACGTTGCAGAAAATGGACAAAATGTGTCAACACACGAGCACTCAGAGGTTAGATCAAATTTCTGTTTGAAAACATAAATAATTAAGGTTCTACAAAGGGTCATTATTTTGTTTACTTCTTCTTTTTGAAATATTCTTCGATCATCATTTTCTAAATGTATTGGTAAAATTCATTGGAAGTGCATGTCCCCACGCCAAAACTGCCCATTTTTCATAAATATCAACTGGTATGGTGAGGAAAACTGAACCATCTCTTTTCTTCCTTCATTTCAATACAACAGCAAATGTGATGTCACACTATCTAGTGGATAAGAATGTAGCAGACAAAACATAAGCACTGCCAGACTGCGCTGTATGCAAGTTTGTTTACACCCCTGAGCGGGAAAGTGTATAACAGGCTACGTGCACTGCTGCCATCAACCCTGTTAGTGTTGAATTCAATCTTCTGTGACTTTTTTAATTGGACCGGTAAAATGTTTAAAATGGTCATTTATGTTTTATTTAATCAGTTTTTGATATTTATCCACCATTAAATACATCCACTCATCTATGTTAATAAGGCAGACTTCGCAATTAATTGTTTTAATAAACTTAAATTCATTGCTAGAGGCAATACATCTGGCACCGCTGTTTCAATGATACTTTCACGATTGCTAGCAAAGCAGTAAAGTAGAAATGGTTTTCTTTGTGATGAATTTTGTTCACCAAGAGTTTTGTGAAGCAGTTGTTTTGAGTTTCGTGTATTCGATTGCGTTTAATTGTGCTATACTTCGAAGAACACAAGTAAGTAAATACAGTGAATGTGTTTTACCCAGGAAATTTTCGTGTTTTACCCACGAAATACATGTTTTAAATTTTCGTATTCATAATATATGAATGTATGTGTAAACTAATGATGATGATTTTATGATATTTAAAGAAGAAGAAGAACACAAAATTACTTACCCTTTGTAGAACCTTAATATATTTTTTAAATCTATTTATAGACAGTTCGATCAATTCTTGGAAAAGATTCCAAATTTCAAAAAATTCTGACTTCGCAGTTGTATTATGGATTGATTCCAGATTACAAAAAGTTGCTGTTGATGAATCGCATTTTGATTAAGCATTACTTTCAGCACCAAATGATCCGAGAAAAAAGGTGTGCTAGGCATTTGAGTTTTAAAATTTTCTTCAAATTTATATTTTTGGTTTGTTTTATAGGTACCCCTCATGGCAACAAAAAAATGAATTGGCTGTTAAAATCTTGTAAGAGTTTCCCCACCTGAAGAAAACACGGATCAATGAAAATGCACCAAAAGAGGTACACGATTAATAAAAATTCAAATTGACGAAACCTACTGTTTTCAAGACTTATAACGAATATACGTTGTATACGAGTAACCCGAATACAACGTATGACTCGTCTAATTTTGCATAGCATTTGCAATGTAAAATTAGACGAACTATACGTTGTATTCGGGGTACTCGTATACAACGTATATTCGTTATAAGTCAGGTAACACAGTAGCAACTTGCAATTTTGAGTTACTTCCAATTTTGAGTTACTCCCAATTTTGAAAATTCTACTCAATTTTGAGTTACCCTCATTAGCAGTATAATAGTACGTTCAGACTACAGAGTTATAACATGTTATAGCGCTATCTTGATGATGCTTTCTGTGTTGCAATTATTTGACAACCGTTATAACATGTTATAACTCTCCAGTCTGGCCAGCGTTTAAGCATAAAAACCTCGTGATGGAAAAGTTCGAAAAAAAAACACCATGACTCGCGAAGTTTTCCCATGGAGAACTTCGTGAAATATCGCGAACTTTTCGAACACTGCTCGTGCGAAAGGTTAATTTCTAGATAGAGCTGTAATTAGGGCGTAACAGTAAACAGAAGTTAGTACAATGACTACAATGACTTCTATAGACGATTTCTAGGAACTCAAGATACGCCAACGCAAACCAATATAACCATCGAGTAGGGGAAGCATTACCTTACCAGATGGTGTAGTTGATTTGCTTTGGCGAGCCTTAACTTTCTAGAAATCATCAAAATAAGTTTACAAAAGTTGTTAAGCCCTAATTGCAGCTCTATCTAGATTTGTAGTTTTATTTTATACAGACAAACAGACGTAACATTCAACAAGTTTACCTTTATTATAATACTACTTATTACTAAATATGCTCGTGCAATGAACTAACTAACTAATGAACTAACTGCAAATCTGTTTTTTTCTTCTAAATTTACAGTCATACTTTTTTTGGCGCTGCGGAGACATGAAAAATGGACCTCATACTGGTTTGATTGAAACCAGAGTGGGTAATATGAGGAAGGATGTTATACCTGAAGATCGTCAATTTCGTCGTACTAAAAAGGACAATATCGGAATAAGAAATCGTGCATATTGCAGCTCATCTGTCAGCGCTCATGCCCACACCTGCAAATGTCAGGCAAATCGCAGAAGGCATGGCGCAAACAATGGCAGCCCTAAGTATGCACCTTTATAATTGATAAAACGATCCTTAAAATGTAGAAAAACGTCCCATAAAACCATCCAAATGATCCATTAAACATCGGAGAAAATCCCTAAAAAAAGTGTGGATGATCCATAAAAAATATCAATATTATCAATATTTTATGTGAAATTTAGCAACACAATTGTAAAAATGTACCGCTAAATTTCTAAAGAATGAGCATTGAAATTGTACAAATTACCCATAAACATATTGCAATTGATCCATAAAACATTCAGCAATGAAACTTAAACTAAAGGAAATGATCCATAAAAAATCAAGTTTGCGCACTTAAAAATATAGGCATGATCCATAAATTAGACGTATATTATTCATGTTTTGGACACTATTTTTTTAATATTGATCCATAAACCTTGAAAAATTGCTCCACTGCATATCTATCTAGATTTACTGCCCTGCCCGAGTATTTTAGGTAGAGGTTTATGGATCAAAATTAATAATATAGTGTCCAAAACGTGAATAATAAACGTCTAATTTATGGATCATGACTGTTCGGAATATCGGGATAACCCTGTACCACCAAACACAGCGACAACCCTGTGGAAGATTTGGAGAGCTACGGTAACGGTCGGTGTCAGAAATGACAGACGTCACGTTTGATTCAACGGAACTGTGAGTTTATCCAAACTATCTTGAACACGTTTCACAGCTAAATTAAATTAATTGCCTATCGTTTAATTAAATTTTAGTGATTTGTAGTGAACTAGCTACTGAAGTAGGTTAGTTGAAGGAGGAATTCGTGAAAATATTGAATTTAATAACTCTTTATTTGCTTAATATAGATACTTCAATTTGATCCTAAAATTTGGTAACCTACAATTTGTTCCTAAACGCTATATACTTGAATTACCCTAAATAACTAGTAAGTAACTCATTCTGCATCGTTTGCGTGCTTAACTAAAATAATAATTGAATCCCTAAATCCTTAATCTAGTCAAATCTATGTTGAAAGAGTGACGGAAAATAACTCTAGGTTTGAAAAATCTCCCGCTCAGCCTCCTATCGCTTTTCATGGAGGAATATTTCTTCCTCCAGCGCTTTCTCCTTTGCACTTTTCTCCTGCTGAAACTGGTCTAGGGATTCCTCCAGGCTGACCTCATTGGTACTTTCTTTTCCAGATTCGGATCCGGCATAACTCCTCGCACTATTCTTTCTGCTAGGTGGTTTCTTTGGGACAGACTTCTTGCTTCCTTTCGGCACCTTCAGCATATGAGTGCACTTCGAGCACGTCTACGGAACCTCCTTTACAGCTGCTGTCTTACCAGCACAACTATAATGGGCCCAGGAATCGCAGACATTACACTGGACCATATCATCTACGTGGTCATGGCCTTCACAAAGCGTACAGTTTCGATCGCTGTTCTGTTCTTCACTCAACGGGGGTGTTGATCCCTCTGACATTTTGAGGTTATATCCGATGTTGCTCTTCAAGAATGTTCGGGTTACTGAAAGCAACTTCCTCAGATCAGACTCGTTTTGGACAGCTTGAAGCTGAAATATGTTTTATTATAAGCATTAAGATTGGTTTAGACTTTATATTAGTTTAATAAAACCTATTTCAGCTTCAAGCTGTCCAAAACGAGACTGCTCTGAGAAAATTGCTTTCATTAATCCGAACATGTCTATATTTTTAGGTGCGCAAACTGGATTTTTTATGGATCATTTTCTTTAGTTTAAGGTTCATTGCTGAATGTGTTATGGATCAATTGCAATATGTTTATGGATAATTCGTACAATTTCAATGCTCATTCTTTAGAAATTGACCGGTACATTTTTACAATCGTGTTGCTAAATTTCACATAAAATATTGATAATATTGATATTTTCTATGGATCATCCACACTTTTTAAGGGATTTTTTCCAATGTTTTATGGATCATTTGGATGTTTTATATGGAACGTTTTCCAATATTTTATGGATCATTTATTGGTTTTTATATTCAAAAGTATGTTTGCCGCAAACAATTGATTTACACAAACTGCTGTTACAAAAAAGTGCTGATCATAAGCATACCGAAATTATTAATACATTTCCTCACTTTCTTGCATACGAAGGTGAAATGGTTAGTCCTTTTATTTATTTATTTCTAATTCATCTATATTACTATTCTAATTTATCTGTATTACTATATTTAATTGATCATACATGCATTCGACAGGCTTCCCGATAAGCGTGGAGTTGTTGGGGACCTTAAAACACTACTCCGTGTTGGGTTACTGTTTGATAACAGTATTTGGACTGAAGTGGAAGATGGTAAATATGCTCAAAAAGTTCACAATTATTACAAAAAAATATTTTTTTATCCTTTTTCCTTTTAGAATACGTCCGAGGAGCTCTACGGATTTTCAAGAAGCTTTCCAATAGAGGTATTAAGAGGATTACCAACATGGAACATGCAACCACGGATGAAATTTTTGCTACACCTCTGATAAGATGGGTTAAGTTTGTTCGAAACGATGTTGGCTTCGATGAGTTGCTGGCGGTGAAACAATCAACAACATCATTTGTCGATCCCCATATTGTTTGTGTAGCAAGCCGTTACAAGCGCGGTAATGTGTATGTTACGTTCCATGAATATATAATTCCTTGTGGCATGTCAGCCATTCGTGCCATCGAAGTGCTTTTCAAATGCTTGCCTGTGTTTGGCCCAAAAGCACCCTTGTTACTTCGCAAACTAAACGGTATGCTTTCAGTTAATGTTTTGGCACAATTCAATCCAGCAAAAAGATTTAACTGTACTTGTAAAATAACCTATCGTTAAGTTAAATTTATCCACAATTAGGTTTTTTCTTATTGATCAAATACACCCACTGTAGTCTTTCCGATCATGACAAGAGTTCAAATATTTAACAACAGAATATCAACATCTTACTAATGTAAGTTCCGAAAAACCATAAGTGAAAAGCGTGATGTGAGCTGAAAAAGTACTCCGGTTTTGTTGTGAACTCTTTTAATCGCATCGATAACATCGAAATCCGAGTCGAAATCTCAACAACTGTGCTGGGAAATTTATAGCTATGACTTGTTCCAGATATGCTTGACTATTGGTTCGAATCCAGTTCGATGTCCTTCTTCCAGAACCACAATCCAATTACTGCAGATTTCATGCGCAACAATTTTGATTCGATGAACCTGTTCAATATGCACGTGTTCAAGCATTTGAACTGAACCGGGCTGGTACTGTCTGGTGATAAGCAGAAGATGAACAATTGCAAAGATTACTTCCCAGATGCAATCGAGGTTGTCCATAAGTATGGTGCAAATGTGCTGCGGCACAACTCATTGGTGGTTCGCGCGAATAATTGCAGGTAAGTTAATATTACTGTTAAATTTAACATATGCATTACTTCGTTCATGGCACGTCCTGTGGTATTCCTTAACGAGAATACCTATGGGTGAATAACTGCTTGCAGTTTTGAAGTTGTAGTGAATTAAATGGTTCCATCATGCTCATCACGCGAATGAAATTATTCTCCCCTCTCCAACTTCCCATTTCCAGGGTAGAAGATGTTAAAGACATCATAAAGGACGTCTGCTTACCGTAGTAGAACGTATTCTGATTCTTGATACAGAACATCGGTCACTTTGAGAAGGACGATACATCGTGTGCCTAGCCGAACACATCTCCAACAACGTGATGGACGTTTGGATGACTTGCTTCAAGAAATTCTCACGCCCGGTGATCGATTTGGATGATGATTTTGTGTAAGTGAACTCGGAGCATCTGAACTAAGCAAGCAACGGACCCCTTTACGGTACATAAAAAAAGGGAACACCGGACTATATGGTCGTGTCTCGAACGGCTGGTTGCAGCTCAAAGAAATCTGGATCGTAAAAAATAACCTAAGCCTTTTAAACCTTTTGTCGTCAACCATTCAACAGATTTCGAAGAAGTAATCCCTCCAGTCATTGGATTCAACTTCATCAATCGTCCCAGATGCAAGATGATAGCATGCAGTTGCTGGAGGTTCGGGGTGGACATCGATGGTAGCAGAACTGCAGTGTGCGTATGAAATCCAGGTTACCGACAGGAGGATTATGTATATGATAGGGATTTTTGGCTTTTCAGTGGACGGACGGAGTATGAGAACCTCGTCGATTAGCAAAAGTTGGTGCTGGAGTTAATACGGCGGAAAGCATCATGATGATGATGATGATAATGGTCCCACCTCTTACCCCTACAAAGGTTTGAGCTGGACGAGTTATCTTTAAGATAATTAAATATAAACATTTTAACCAGGTTTGCAAACAAAATCGAGCTGGTTACAATTACAGATATAAATGTCCTGTTAAATATGCTATAGGCATCAACCAAAAACATTCAAAGGTGTAACTAGTTATCAAAAGTCCAAGTATAGTCCTCGACAATACTTCCATTTACACGTGACCTGGGATTTACACGTTTAAGCTTCCGCAGTGCCAGGACTATATCCAAGGAAACGACTTCCAGCCAACCCTTTACTAATTCAAGGCTTTTGCCACAATTTCCACGTATTAGTCATTTATACCTGTATTCCGCGCGCGAGGCTCAAACCATCGTAGACTACTCAAAGCTATTTTTACTATTACTACTACAAAATCAAAAAACTAAAAATCCATCATCACCATCGAGGCAAACAATGTAGTTTTTTGTATATTCTACACCAATTACTAAAATGTCTATATGACAGTCTCCATACAAAATAATCCGTTAGAGATAACTTTGTCAAGATACATGATTTATCCATTCATAAAAATTTAACTGCTCAATAAACAGCTTTTACATGTGAAATGCAGCGTCTCTTGAATTGTGTAAGTGTAGTTGCACGCTTGATGTGTCTAGGCATCGAATTGAAAACATTTATACCTTTGAAAAATAATGAATTTTGTGAAGCATTATTCAAAAGATGTGGTGTTCTTACTTCATCCGCGTTTCTAGTGTTATATCTATGAAAATCACTTCCTCTTTCAATCCGATCACACAAATATCGAGGCAGCAAACCGTTAACTACTTTAAAAATGAACACCATAGTCAAAAACACAATTCTTTGCTTCACTGACAGCCATTGCAAAGCGTCCAGCATAAAAGTTGAGGAAGTGAATCTATTACATCTTAAAATCAAACGCATTACTTTATTCTGCAAACGCTGTAATCTCGATATTTGTGTTTCATTGGCCAAAAATAAAATGGAAGGGCAAAAGTCTAGATGAGGGGAGATGATTGATTTGTATAACTGTATTTTACTACCAATAGTTAAATCGTTTTTCAAGCGACATAGGATTCCATACTTCTTGGCAATTTTCTTGATGACATTGTCAATATGAGAATTGAACTTGAGTTTGTCATCAATAATCACGCCAAGATATTTAATTTCCTGAACGCGATCAAGTGTCTCATCATCAATAACAACAGAGACATCATCATCTACACGATTCCGCGAAATTACCATGAATTTAGTTTTACTTATATTCAATTTCAATTGTTTATACTTCAACCATCTACTTAGAGAACGCAAATCTTCATTCAAGCGTGAAACGGCTTCTTCTAAATCTTTAGCTGCAATGAATAACACAGTATCGTCAGCAAAAAGATTAATATCACAAAACCGTAAAACTCGTCGCATGTCATTAATATACATAATAAATAAAAGGGACCCTAATACACTTCCCTGAGGCACTCCAAGGTCATTGTCAACGGGACAAGATACAAAATCAAGCGGTTTTCAATTTAGATTATGTTATTTTTGACGTAGGACTACGTCTTTGATTTCTATATGGGGGTACACTTTGTGAAAACCAAAAATGGAACATGTAACAAATTAAGAAAGATTTTGAACGTTAATCACTCAGCTGCCCCTGGTCCAATTTCAATAATGTTATCACCAATCGATCAGAAATATGGCTACGCATCGATAACAATGCTTCCAAATGTTGATTTTCAACAAGAAACTATTGAAAACTGGTAAATGTCCAGCATTGTCTAAAAGCGTCGAATAAACTAACAAATCCACCAATTACCTACATGCATATGCTGCTTCTCCAGCGCAGTCGTCAGAGAGTAGTAAGTAGACGAAACAAGTCGAAGTGGCATTCGCCTACAATCCTCGGGCGCGTGCGAATAGGGAGGATGGAATTGCGTAATATTTTGCACACTCATCGCCATATTCAGAACCAAATGCAAATTCTTCGAGATAACCACCATCCGTCGTCTGGCTCGCCGTGGCGGTGTCTGACGTATCTCCGGTCTGATTTACGAGGTGTGCTGAAGGTGTTCCTGAAAATGAGATCCGTGATGCTGTCACCTACACTAAACACGCCAAGCGTAAGTGGCCATGGATGTCATCTACGTTTTGAAGTGACAGAGACGCACTCTGTTTGGTTTCGGAGGTTAAATCATCACCAACTTTGGCAACAAAACGACTCTTTTCATTGATTGATTCTCTTAATCAACTTTCTCTTTGAAAAAAAAAATACTACAAATTTGGACGCCTACAATTAAAAACGGAAAAAGTTGAGATAATAGATAATTGATCAATTTAAAGAACTAAATGCTCTTCACATTTATTCCGTCCACTAGCGGTCAACCGTCAAGCTTCCGTTCGTGCCCCTAGGCACATACCCTTCTACTTTTTTTTAATTCAATTTAATGTAACTTATGTTAAAAATAAAACTGATGAGCAATTAACAATTGCTTACGTTTCAATAACAAATCCAAGACAGTCGAAAGTACAGCAATAATAGATTTGCCAAATAGAGCGCCATTAAACATCATTCGCATACTTTTTTTTTTTATAATTACTTTATTTGTACAGGCTCAATCGAATAAACTTTACAGTGCCGAGTTATCCTTTGCGTTATACATTATTACTGTCTTAAATTTAAAGTTAAAGGAACTGGACCGAGTACTCGCGGTTGTCTCGAGGTTAGTGGAGATTTACAATTTTTTGGATGGGAAAAGGGAAGAAGGAGGTTTGAAATGTGGTTTACGATACAACTATTTAATTAATCCTAAAGCATGAAATTATTTCTATTCATCTTGAAAACAAACATTGAAAAAAAAAAAAACCCACACGTACAAAATACAAACGAAACACACGGTTAATCAAACTTACAATCTAAGGTTAATATCCTTAAAGTAAACATATATGAGTTTCATAAACTCCAGATCGCGTCTAGCCAAAATATCCCGAACTGGAACATTAGGTTGTCTACCTCGAGCCCGAAGGGAATCATAAAAATGTGATCTGACTCCACGATACTCCGCACAAGACCAAAGGATGTGATCAGCGTCCTGGTAACCTTGTCCACATTCACAGAGATTGCTGTCTCCCAACCCCACACGGAACAAGTGAGCGTTTAGACAATAGTGATTGGACATGAGACGAGACATCACGCGTATGAAGTCTCGACTCAAGTCCAACCCTTTGAACCATGCAAACTTCGACACCTTAGGGATAATTGAATGTAGCCATCGTCCCAAGCTCCCTTCACTCCATTGATGTTGCCAGCTAACGAGCGACTGCTGACGATATATAGAAAAAAATTCACTATAGGCGATCTGTCGATCATAAATGTCACCTTCCATAGCGCCCACCTTCGCAAGTGAATCCGCCTTCTCATTGCCCAAAATTGAGCAATGCGAAGGGACCCACGCGAAGGTGATGATGAAAGAGCGCACGGATAAAGCACTAAGCAGTTCTCGTATTTTCAAGAGAAAATACGAGAAGTGCTTTACCGGCCTAATGGAACGGATAGCCTCGACAGAACTGAGACTATCCGTAAAAATAAAGTAGTGGTGTGGAAGAAGTGAAGCAATAGTTTCCAAAGTGTAGTGAATTGCTGCCA